CTACAATACATATCACACTTAAACCTTAAACCCAACAGCTCATGCATGTCACATATGAATCACAAAGGAAGCAGCGGAGCAGAACACACCATATCATCTTAAGTGAGGTGTTGTCATCTCGCGAAAACATTTAGGGCATGAGTTCCATATTTTTCCAAAGACAAATGGTTACAACGGCCACTTCTTGGTTTAAGGGATGCTGTTTAGCACCCAAGGCACCCCTGATCAACACCCCTAACTTACAATCAGGAAAATGGAGGCAGTAGAGTGCAGAGTGCCGGCCACACTGTCTTCTTGCGTACCGAAAATAGCTTAGTCTTCAGGGTGCTGTATCCTGACGGCGGCTCTCAGGCACCTTGAGATACTAGTTGGAGTAACTTTGAAGCTCTATTGTTGCTCGGTTTTAGGAGTTACAGTACATTATTATACACCTGGCAGTGGCATCTGTTCTAATGTTTTATGACATACTAGAAAATTTACTCACATTAATTAATTAAATAAGATACTGAGTCTTCTTTGAAAATTAGAATCACTGTGGCCTTTGCTTCATTACAGATATCTACAGTATCAATAAAAGCTCTCCCGAAAAAACTATTTATCAGTTTATTGAGAGGTACAGTAATTTCATTCATCTGATTTACCGTCTAAAACCGACAATGATTTTACTACTACTACTACCACAACTACCACTACTACTACTTTTTTTTTTTAATATGGCCTCCAGCCTCCCCCAATAGCCATACCTTCGCCACCATTTTATTACCTTAATATTAAATATCCTAATACATAAGTTGCTATCCTAGCTGTGTTGAGTTAGTTGAGCCGCAGATCTATGCGGCATTCAGTGACTATAGCCTCATAGTCAATATCTGCAACTGTTGTCAGCTTTGGGGCCGATGCTCTCGTTCCCCTGAGGCAGAGCAAAGCCGACCGAAGGAGAGGGAAGGACAGTCGACATCTCATCCAGGCTGTAACATAACTTCTGGACTGCTGCTTCTGTTTGGAGATCACCTCCGCGAGTCTGGCGAAGAAACATCTTGCACTTGGTCCCATCCCACCCGAGGTTGTGAACACTAGAGAAGTGAAGCTGCCTTGATCAACGTTCTGAATTCTCTCCCCGTATGCCCTTATCTTGTCGTTCTCGTTCTTCCTGTGTGCAGCATCGAGAGCTAAGCTACTGTGACATGCGGCCATGGAATAAAAAATCCTGATGTCGAAGAAGGCTCGGTGTCCCCTCGTCCAGAATCCTCGAGCACTGACGTCAACACGGGCTTCGTTTGATGTGTTTGAAGTCCTATGTTGTACTACTACTACAACTACTACTATTACTACTGTTACTACCAGTGCCGGATTTAGACCTGTGGAGGCCCATGGGCAGCCTCTTTGTGGAGGCCCCCCTCATTATAACTACCCAAGAGGGTGGGGTGGCAAGTGAAGCGAACCTAAACATCTGGGAGTTCCGGGGAGCGCTGTAAGCCCCCCGGGAAATTTTTGAAATGTGAACACTTCTTTGGAGAATTTTGAAGCCATATGCAGTTATATTGAGGGAATTAGAACATTGAGAAATTTTTAATTAACTGTATATTTATTGATAGTGTACAAATTCCCAACACACACACACACACACACACACACACAAAAGTGAGACATGACTGGAGTCATTCATGTGGTTTCAAGTCGACCAGCCCTGATATAGCTAATACCGCACATGTGGAGGCCCCCAGATTGTGGTGGCCCCTGGGCAGCTGCCCACTTTGCCCACTCCTGAATCCGGCCCTGGCTGCTACTTTTTTTCAACGTGGCCTCCAGCCTCCCCCAATAGCCACACCTTAGTCGCCATTTTATTACCTTAAAATTAAATAACCTAAAACAAAAGTAGCTACCCTAGCTGAGTTGAGTTAGTTAAGCCACAGATCTATGTGGCATTCAGTGACTGTTGCCTCATAGTTAAAATCTGTGACCGTTGTCGGCTTTGGGGCCGAAGATCTCGTTCCCCTGAAGCAAAGCAATGCAGACCTAAGATTAGCGAAGGACAGTCGACTTCTCAACCAGGCTGCAATGTAACTTCTTGGCTGCTGCTTCTGTTCGGATAACACCCCAGCCAGTCTTGCATAGAAACATCTTGCACTTGGTCCCATCCCGCCATACGCCCTAATATTTTCGTTCCCGTTCCTCTTGTGTGCAGCCTCGAGACAAGTTACGATGACATGCGGCCATGGGGTCGAGTATCCTAACATCAAAGAAGGCTCGCTGTCCCCGCGTTCAGAAACCTCGAGCACTGACGTCCACACGGGCTTCATTGGGTGTGTTGGAAGTCCTGTGATGGAGATTCTCGCTGTCCAATAGAAAGGGGGTCGGTTCCACCATGATGTCGTGGCAGATTTCCTTCATTATATTTGCTGTGAGATACCTTCGCCATGCCTCATGCATACAAAGCCCCCTTTCTTGCGCACCATGGCGTGGTCGATGGAGAATGGTGAGCCACACACGCATTAGGAGGACAAACCTTCTACTGGCCTACTATACCTTAGACTTAGAGCAATGGCATCTGTAAATTCTTGTTTATTAAGGCTGAAGCCTTTTGCCTTTATCGGTACTGTTGTTTGCAGTTCGAGGCGCCCACCTCCTGTGCTATAGCTACTTTTTTTCAAGTTCTTTGGCAATTGCAGCATCAGTTGTTGCAGTTTATCTCTTTGGGTGTGTTGTCGTTCTGTCGTAATGGACTGTCGAATCTTGTTTAATTCTTTGGTATCCACCTCGCTTGCTGCATTTTGAGATATTATGTGCTCAGAGAGGGCTGCCTTGAGCTTGACAGAGTTCTGATGTTCGGTGGCAGCAAGCTCCTCTGGATTGGTCATTTCCATTCCTCCCAGTCTCCGTGGTAGTGCAAGGAGTGACCTTTTTGCTGGGGTTAAGTGAAAGTGTTTCACTAGTCTTAGAATAAAGATGATGCTGATGGCTTCTTCCAGGGGACAGGTTTATATTGCAACGGTATTCTTACTTTTGCTTGAGTAAGCTTTTTTCACAGGAACAGTACTTTTACTTAAAAGTATTTTTTTCATTACAGTACATGTACTTTATTCCATTACAATACTTTTTCTACCACTGCAAAGGTTAAGTTTTGGATTTGGACAATTTTATTTTATTCAAAATCTCAGCACAAGTACTCCTAAAAACATTGATTAAGGATCCATCGTCAAAAAGTTATAATATTGTAAATTATTTGCGTTACTGACTCTTGGAAAGATATTCATTTTGCAAACACTAAATATTCACAACCTGTAATTTTTTATGCTAGTTTTAGGTATTTATTCATTTAGTCTGGATGTACAATACAGTACTGTACTATTGTACTGTACAGTAGTTAAAAATTATAATATCCATTACAGTATACCCACTGCTTATTATACAATGTGCTGTATCCAAAGTGTCCCCAACAGGGCATCAACCTAGGAGATGCACTTTCACTTTCACAAGTTTCAAATGAGTAACTAGTAGAGAATATTATACTGTACTATTAATTCAACCTTTAAATTCAGTCTCTGTACATAAAAATGTCAGTGGAGCCCCAATGGAGCCTAAGTAAAGTAGCTATAGTACAGTATATTGTAAGATTGACAGGAGGCTGACTGGAGCTTATAACTGAACAAATACTGTCGTGGAAACAGTGGAGGTTGGGGTGAAAGACAGTAAAAATGTCTGTTATCCTATTATACACTTGGGTTTGAGTCATCAGTCAAGGTAAGGGATTATAACAAATTAATACAGTACTTAACAAAATGCAAAGAAAAAATTTCTAATCAAAGCACAATTAATAAATTGACCAAAAAGCCAAAGGGTTCGTGGGGTGCATTGAGCAAGAAATTGTCAGCCATTAGGCCAAGAACATCAGAAAAACATTGAATTCTTGAAGTACAGTACAGTACAGTACAGTACAGTACATAGTTATACAGGCAGGTGCAGTATTCACCAACTATGATTTTCAGTGATGGTATGTGTACTGAGCTGTAATGGTGTGGGTTGAATGAGTTGCACTGGTTGTTGAGGAGGGGTGTGTGGGGTCACTTGGGTCATCATCAGGTTATGGCATTGCCATATTGAAACAAAGGGCCAGAGCCAAGTGACGTATCCATAACTGGCCAATTAGCAACGCTAAACGAGTTGCTGATAAGCGATTAATTTTCCTTTCTATTCAGTATCAGTGGCTCCAATCACAATAAAACAAAAAAATCTACACTATTTTGTAAACCAATGCAGTGTTTAGTAGCATAAGAAAACTTCAACAAAACCTCTTTTTTTCTTCTTTTTCCTCTTTTTATCAGTACAGAGCTCTATGGGAGTGGTGCTACTTCTTCTTCTATGTACAGTACCTTGACTTTATGATCCTTGAAGTACCTCATCTTCTGTAGGTAAACTGTGATGAAGTTTAGGGCGAAAGAATACACAGGAAGGTATATATACTAAGGCATTCATAGCTTGTGTAAACACTTGATGAACTGACCACATTTGCATTAAGCTTGGGCTCGACATATGCTCAGTAATGCCAGAAGAGTAGGCAGGGGAGAAAATTTTTCTCAGAGAGACGGTCATTTCTTAGGACTGGTTAAACATGGCCAAGAGTTTGGCAGTTGTCATAAATAATGTGTGGATCACTGAGATTCTGTAGTACATGGATCATTAAGTGTTAAATATCTTTGTCAAATTTATGGGCATATATGATACTGTTACTGTACCAGAATGGAAAAACAATTATTTGCATATAACTGTTTCATTTTATGATAATACTGTACAGAGACATTTGTCCACTTGTAAACCTAACTTACTGAGATATAAAATACCACAAAATTAGATCTTTCTTTTTTGTACCATAGTCATTTGTAAACACCCAACACCAGTTTTCTAAATAACTAACACAACAATAATTTTCCCTACAAACTAAACACCAGTTGTCAAGAAGAGTACATTTTAAGAGTTGTCCTAACACTCCTCTTCTTTTCCAGGTTGGTAAAAATGTTATCTACCCCAACTTGGGCCAATTCGTGGAAGGCCAAAGTTCTCGGAGGGAGATCTCATACTACCAGTGGGTGACATTCTTCCTGCTGATTGAGGCGCTCGTCATCTACTTACCACGGCAAATTTGGCACCAGCTGACCCACAGTCAGTGCCTCCCCTTTGATTTCACCAACCTTCGGCGTCGTGAGGACTGGGAGGATAAAAAGAACTTCCTGGTGTGGCATATGAAGCAGACGAGGGGGAATCACGAGTACTGGCTCTGGCAATACCTATTGACAGAACTTTTAGCAATTGCCTTGCTCGCCTCTTTCTTCATTCTCACTGACGTGTTCCTGGGAGGTGACTTCTACAACTACGGTCTGGACTGGGTCAACTTCATGCACAATGCAACCAACACTACGATTTCTCCAATGACGGCACGGTTCCCCCGTCTGACCGTCTGTAAGCTACAGTATCACAGTCGTGGAGGCACCATCAACAGTTACTACCCACTCTGTCTCCTCCCTATCAACTGCTTTAATGATAAGATCTTCCTGTTCCTCTACTTCTGGTACTGCATGTTGTTTGGACTGTCACTGCTGCGGGGTTTATACATGCTGGTGCTTGTTACATGCAAGCCGGCACGTCGATTGCGCCTCAAGTTCAGCGCTAAACTAGTGCCCGAAGATACTTTGGATCGGTTCATTAATGCACACAATCTCAGTGATTGGTTTGTGCTGTGCAATCTGGCACCCACCATGGACCCTGTACTCATCGCTGAGCTTGTCACCCAGCTTGTGTATGAGGTACAAGGAGGAGAAAGTTCCGACTCCAAACCGTCCCGCCTCGGTAAGCAAGAGAAATCGCTTCAGTCTGTAAATTACATATGAGATTCAGCGCCGCGCACTTCCCCACACTCGCTCACACACTGCCTTCCCAATGGTCAACCCAGCTTCGGGTTCCGCGCAAATGCGCACCCGTACGGCCAGTATCATAACCGCTACCCACCCGTACACGGGTACGGCACCGCCTATTCCAACGGCCACTGCGAGGGGCTGTAAGTGTGGTTGGCTCCTGCCTGGCCTCTGTGAGGTCCTCCAACCCTCAGACCTGGGCTACGGCAGCGCACAGGGCTCGGCCCAGCCCCCTACGCCACCTAGACGCTCGGGGCTGCAGAACCGCACGCAGGGGAAGGCGCCGCGCGACTCTCATACCACCACACCACCACGTTGGGGCTTGCTGCCCACCATGCACCTGGTGTACCCTTCCAGCTAAGCCTGGGATGGTGGGCTGCTCCGCTCCGCCACAGCAACAGAATAAGCAACAGTGACAACAACAAAGCAGAACAAGAGCGTGGTCGAGCCCTGAGCTTTGCCATGAGACCTGCCACCATATCGCATGATGATGAAAGATGACCTCTGCACTTGGATCGTCCATCAACAACACACCAGGCCCTTGCAACACCAACACTTTGCGTTTCCAACAGGGGGCCTGTCAGTGATAAATATCGTTGAAATTATAATGTTTGTTTTGTTACTGGCATGAGTTTATGGGAAGTATCCACAAGTATCTTGGTCACTGCTGCACTGGTCGCAACCTGCAATCAGTCGACGGTTCTTGTTAAGTCAAGTTTTTTCATATAGTGAATCTAATCTTTAAAGGACTGTTTGTGTGTATTTTATATGCTCGTAGATATTTTGTTTTGCTTACTTGTCTAAGCTGTGTAGCTGACTGGTGATATTACAAGAAAATGTTTTCTGTATATGAAAGTTTTATGAGTATTTCAAGTATTCTTCAGTATTATGAATGAGAGAACATATACTCAGATGAAGTAATATATAAGTTTTGCTATTTATTTTGCGTGTGGTCTGTCATAGTGCTTCTTGTTCATTAACTAAAAAACAGAAACACAGTGGATTTACGCTACTTAATGATTGCTGATGAGCCACACGTTTAGCTCTACAGGCAACAGTGTGCATCTCGGTCGTTTGACACTTGGCTCACCTGAGAAGCAACAGCCACTTCCCACATGTGTCTGGGTCACACCCACAACTACATCCACAATCCACGAACTTATAAGACAAGGCTTAACACATTTGTCGGCCCAAATCACACGAGGTCCTCCTCATTCACTAAACACATTAAGACGCCCAGAAGGAAGGTGAATTCTGTGTAAAATAATAATGTGAATAACATGAAAAGATGTGTTGGTCATGTGGATGTTATGTATGGGTGGTGAGGCCTGGCCTGTGGCAAGGTTCAGCTCATGGGTCGCCCACACCGCCGCGGGCTTCCTGCTTTTCGGGGGTGGTGCTTGGATGATCACACACACCCCAGCCATAATAGCGAGAGACTCTGCCAAGTATCACACAGCGCGATGAATATTGGGTATCGTGGATGGACCTGTGCGAATATAGATTTAAACATAAGTTGACGTACCCGCAAGGTTCCGAGTAGTGTATTAGAATCCCCATACTAATTTCTAGGACATCGACATAATGGCCGTTCTCTCCTTGTTGAAGCTGTACGGAGTTCTGGGGTGGCTGAGAAGGTAGTAGGACTGTAACCAAGTCTACAGTTCTTACCTCCTACCACCCCTGCCTCCCCTCCCTCCCAACTATCATCTTATCAGCCTAGGTTATATAGCCATTATGTTTACTCGTCAGGCGGGGCGTCAGACAGGTAACATATGTGTTTAGACTTGTATAAAACTGGTTGTTTTCTCACATTCTTTATGGAGATTAAAAAGACTTTTCTATTGTTTTGTTGTGATGTGCATATTTTATATGTGCCAGTGTCTTTTTTCGAGCTAGGTGAAATCGAATTTTACTAGATCATATTTATGTTGTCTGTTCAATATGATGTTTATATATCCTTACAGCAGAATGTTATTAGTTTTAGCTTCTTAATGGAACTGCGCATTAATTCTCCATAACTAAAGAAAGTTACAGTAGGGAGTTGCTTGATAAACACTTGCTTAGTTAACCTGTAGCTAATCACGGTTTAGAGCTCTCGATAACAAACATCTCTCTCTCTCTCTCTCTCTCTCTCTCTCTCTCTCTCTCTCTCTCTCTCTCTCTCTCTCTCTCTCTGCTCTCACTCTCTTTCTTGCTCTCACTCTCTTTCTGGCTCTCTCTTTCTTGCTCTTACTCTCTCTCGCTCTCTCTTTCTTGCTCTCCTTCTTGCGCTCTCTCACTCTCTCTTTCTTGCTCTCTCTCACTCTCTCTTTCTTGCTCTCTCTCACTCACACTCTCTCTCTCTTTTACTCTCTCCCTTTTTGATCATCCTGGACCATATTCCTGAACCCCTCTAGTGTATGGACTTTATAACATAATCAAGTGTGATGTGTTATGTTAAACAATAGTTTAGCCTTTATAACATGTTTGCCCCATATTTCAAAGCACAATATTTGCAATTTTATGGCAGAACATGATATATTTATTATTCCAGCATCTATTGTTATAAAACAATCCACATTACATTTTTATGGTATAAATTATCAATACTAGAGTAGTTTGGATGTGTGGTCATAAGTCCCACGAGCAGATGTAAACATTGGCTGCTGTAGTCGTGGTCAAGAGGTCTAGGACTTGCCCCTTTGTTGTATATGTAGAATGGGACCTTTTTGTATTCATGCTGCCAAGATGTGTATCAAAAGAACCTGGTGCCACTATTGTTGATAGTTCTTTCATTATACACTCTGTGATCATATGATCAAATATATTTCATTGTAAGTTGATAATCACCATTAGTACCTAGTCTGGCCTATCCCCTAACCTAGATTGTGTGAGGTGTCCCTATTACATCCTCAACCAGCTAAATACCTTTCCAAAATAATCCTATTTGACCCATCGTACCCGCAAATGACCACCTAGTGAACCCGCAGCCCTACTCTCCCCAGAGATAACTAATATGCATCCTCAGCCATCAATACATATTCTAGAAGTGGCACCAAGTTCTGAACACACCCATTAGAGTCTCCCAGTCAACCCTACCAGGGGAAGGGAAGGTCAGCCCCATGAATCCTGACAGTCAATCTTGCTGAGCAGGGGAGGGAGGGAGGCTGACTTGTACAACCCTGCAGTCTAATTTGTCCTGAAAGGTCTGCCACTAAAATGCTGTAGTTAGTTTCCTGTCAGACTCATCATTAATGCCCATACAATCTAGTTTCCTGTCAGGTCTGAATTCACCAAGATTTAGTCAGATTCACTGTGAGAGATGTTATTGAAAACTCTCATAGTCTAGTGTATTGTAGGAGATCTGCTACTAAGATACATGATAAGTCATTACTTAACCTCTTGAAGTAAAATTTTCTGTGAGGGGTCAGCACTCGACCCTTGCAGTCAGCCTTTTTCTGGGGAGGGAGAGGTCATCTGTTACGACCTCGGTCAGCCTCGCTAGGGGATAAACATCATCTGATACAATTCTTACATAAACAGTGGTGGAGGAATCACTCCCCACTACAACCCTCAACGTCAGCCTTGCTAGTGTAGTCGGCGTCATGACTGCTCTACCAGTCACCAGGGAAAGTTAGCTGATGACATGACTTGTATTGGATTATACTGCTGGATGGCAGTTAGTCCAGTGTGTAAATCTTCAATAAAGTTTATCGCAGACTGTTGTGATAAAATCATTGTGGAAAATAGAAGTTGCTAGTGTGTGCTGTTGGCAGCAGTATTCATATTAAAAGAATTTAATGTACCCTAAAGAACTTGTTTCTGGTCATGTTAAGGTGTGGACATGGGCTAAAGAAGCCTTTACTGGAATCTAAGTTAATGTAGGGCACCATAAGACTCAGTATTTGTATTAGTGTCACTTAAGCTGTATATATATATATATATATATATATATATATATATATATATATATATATATATATATATATATATATATATATATATATATATATATATATATATATATATATATATATATATATATATATGGCAACTTTTGTGAACTCTAGAGTGATCTCTAGAATATTGTTGTATATTAGCATGAGTGCTTTCTAAATGGTTCTGTGACACCTTTATAAAAAATATGTACAGTATTAAAACTTTATTGAAGTAGTACACAATATTAAGGGTCATGATTGGTTACAATGCATTTTAGAGTGTAAGTTATATAGTGTTCAATGAAAGGGGATGGGTGTTTTAAGGCAAGATTGGCTGTTAGGTGACGAGACATGAGAGGGTTGATGGTGAAGACATAGAGATATATCCTGACAGTTATTTGTTTGTAATTACACATGAAACCTAAACAAAATCATACCACTTTATTCAGGGTTAGATCTCATTTCAGAAGTTAAGTGAAAATTTTAGGAACTTTTTCGGCCTATGTAACATTTAACAAACTGAATAAAATAACCGAATACCTTGAGGTTGTTAACAAACAGTGGCTTAATGGTCTGCGACTCTAGCTGACCTCAGCATGGAAGGCGCTTTGTGGTCAGCTGGTGACGTGGCCACGGTGAAGCTTCATACGACGATACTAACAAGGTCACTCTCTCACTCTACAACCACTTGGGATTTTAAAATGAAGAATAGTTCGCTAAGTATGAACTGTTAGATATTGTAATGACTTGTTATAACTTTTGTGATCACGGTAGTGGGGTATTCTATTTACGATTGCTAGTCTTCAGTATATGCTGTTTTTTAGGTTCAGTAGACAGAGACGTTGTTTTATATATGAACTTTGGGTGATCTATTTTGTGTGTAATCTTTGTAAATGTTCTTGTGGCTCCTCAGTTTCCAATGAAATGTATTGTATAGAATTGGTGTTTGTAACCTTGCAATGGTGTTCACTGCACCATTATTGTCAAGTTGGTCATATGATATAATGTACTGTATGATCAAATTAATTTTCTCATTTTCCAAAAAAAATTAAAAATCTTTACTTTTAAAGATGGTCATACCATTGTGCAGATGACCTCTAAAGCAAACATGTAATATTTGTGTATCAGATGAAAGACCTATGAAAATTCATATCACAAACATAATAACATTTTGTTTCATTATATTGGTCTTGTACTGATTATTACTTAGTAATTATTAAATCTGGCTTCAGATACCTTCACTGAGGGTTAATTTTTAGAGGTGAAACTTCACTTAGGTTGAGCCTCGTGAGGGATATTTGAAACTGGCTTATCTGAACCCCCACCCACCATACACTGAGATTAGTGGTGTCAAATGTTTCTCAGTGTTTGATAATTAAATCTCTATTGTTACTCCACTGCCCAAGTATATTTTTCCACTACAAATGATTTGTCAAGAACTTCAAACAAACACCATCTTTGGGGGATCTTTTAATGCCAAAAAACCTTCAACTTGCATATTCTTTGTTTTATGTACAGTTGCCTACAGTGTTCCACCCCGGATCACTGTACCTGTGGGTAACTGTACCTACAATTGTATTTATTCCTGTAAATTAGGTGCTACTTGCATTATGGGATCATTTTATACCTTCTTGTTGGCACCACTGTACGTCTCTGTCTGTTGTTCCAAAAATTGCCCCCTTTTAGTCAGTTATAAGAGGACGAAGCACTGAACTGTAACTTTGCATTTCTAGAGGCAATAAGGAAATATAGTTAATATACTGTAAAGTTCTCGTGTTGCAAATTTATTAAATAAAACAGAGAAACTGCAGGTGTTGTGTCATTGATCCATTGTGTACAGTATTGCCTTACAAATCACTGGACTTGGAAACATCACAAATGTTACCTAAAAAGTATATCTACCCAGTCATATGAATCTGGAGTTAAAAGATTAATAAACAAATAAAGATAGTTCTCAGATAAACAAGTAAATTGTATGAAGTCCTATAAAAACGGCACATCAGGTTAACCTATTGTGTGTGTGTGTGTGTGTGTGTGAAGTCAAAAATCAATAGAATTTTTTTCATTTTTATACCAACATCTGTGTGTTTCTACCTACATACAGTATATTGTACTTTATGTCAATTATGCCCGTCTATTAATACAAAAGACAAACAAAATATCTATTGATTTCTGACTTCTCAGACAGCTCTGTGGAATGGTTAATAAAAAATCATCTGGATATTTTAGCCTAAACCAAAATCAAGCATCACAAGTAACAAGAAAATAAGTTTTTGCAGATAAACATAATTTGTGTACAGTTTGTTTTCTCAACAAATACTACAACTTTTTACAGTGTCAAACATATTCCAGCACATTCTTATACTATGATCATCTATCAGTTCAATTTATGATCATACAATATAATTCATAATACAACATAATTAGCAACACTTGCCAGATAATTGGTCTGGGTGATTGCAATTAAATGTAAAATGCATAAGTGTGATGATGAATGAGATCCTGGAGGAGGTTCATGACTTCAATTACAATGAACTGTCACTAATTCGATATTCATAATTCAATATTTTTGTCAGCAGATTTAGTAAGATATCATGATTTTTTTAATAAATAATTGAATTAGCCCAAAAATCTCATAATAACCCAAGTGACTTCCTTTATATGATGAGACTATGATCGGCTAAATTATGTTGTTCCATCACTGTCTTACCCAAGCCTTCCAAGCAGATATAACTCATTATGCAGCTGGAAAAGGGGTCTAAAGTACTAAGGCTTAACAGGGGATAACCTTTCTAAAATTTCCTTGACATGCACTGGGCTGAAGGCGATTAGGCAATCCTTCAGAAAGAGCTTTGTTCATATTCCTCTCACTGGTGCCATAGACAATCAGCGCCGGCGTAGCATGCTATCCTGACAAAAGTTCCGCTGCTCAGCCAACCACTACTTTTGACAGAAGCCTCACAGGCCAATCAGCACCCAGCATTTTCACCCCACTCCGTTCCAAGTTTTACCTCATAGTAGGCACAAGGATTAGCTGTGCTTAAGCATTTGCCTGAATTATTGAGGTGTTTTAGTGACTGATACATACTGTGACAATGAGTGGTAATAGAAAGACCATGATACAGTGTACTTAGCAAATGCTGCAGTTTCTGAGAATGGGGGAGGGGTGGGGTTACTACTAAGATCAGAGACATTATCGAGAACAAATTCTGGCTTGAATGTCATGTACACTAATACTGACACGTTTCTTGATAAGAGAGAGG